CAGAGACAGAAAGCCAAATTTATATTCTAAGCTTTGATCCATGAAAGCAAATAAGGTATTTTATAGATATGGAAAAAAATTTAACAGCAGTCAAGTGGTTGAAAATATTCAATTTTACATTAGCCATGTAATTATAACAAGACCAGGATTAACATGAACAAGTATTTCATCCTGAAAATGAACAAGTAACCAAGTAGCAATGAGCCACAACTGAGGCCTAAAAGGTCAAACACGGCAAATTTAACTATGAAGTTAGTTGGAAGTCTCTGAATGATACAAGATTATATTGAAAGTATAGTTGAGATAAAAATCAGATGTTTGGGCAAAGTATAAAATACTTCACTGAATGTTCCCCCTCCTTGACCTGGCTGAGTAGGTCAGTTGGTTAGAGTGGGTTCTCCTGATGTGGCAAGGTTTTGGGTTCAATCCCCCAGTCAGGACACATACTAGAATCAACCAATGAATGCATAAATAGGTAGAACAACAAATTTTTTTCTCTCTCAAAATGAATCAAAATTTTTTTTTAAAGAATTTTTTCCCTTCCCACTAATAGGGCCAAGGGTACAGTTGTAAGAATAGATCTTACGTAATGGAGTAAATTGGTTAATAAAATATTCACTTTCTTTGCTCTGATAGCAAAACCAGATCAAGAACACAAAATTTCCAGTTAAAAAATGAAAATCATTTGATATCACTAATTTCAAAACATTTCTTTTGGCAAAGGAGGAATAGTTAGAAAACAAAAACCTTACTATAACAATGACAATGTAGTATGAGAAAAATATTTAGATAAACCTATAATTTATAGGTAAATCTAGTATGTGAATAAAGATACCCCTTATAATTTCTTTTAATATTTCCCCTATTTGGCTTATAATATTCTTAAACGGTTAAGTTGTATGAGGTGCAAATATCTAATGTGTTTAAAATGCTTATTTCCTTCACTCAAAGCAGATTCTCATGGGTAATGACAGGCTTCCTTATTTTTTATCCCCTGGGACTAGACTATCGTGCCAGAATAAAACCTCAGTGAGTATTGACTAAATGATTATCCCCTATGTCTGTGGTTCTCAACTAGAGGGAGGCTCCAAAAATGCCCTTAGGGAGTATTTCAAAATTATGCCTGTTTCCACAGAAAAATAGTAAGTCTGATAAGACCCTGTGTTCCTGTATACTTCAAAAACTCTGCTAAGCATTCTGACATATAAATGTATGTCAAAACCCACATACACAATAACATATATAATAAAATACAAGAGGCAATCTAGGATTTGAGAATTTAATCTGAAACATTTTTATCTCAGTTTCAGAACCTACTCTCTTCTTTAATAGAAAGAAATTATAGTAAAATCCTTTGGGAAATTCTTAAGAATTGACTATATCTTAGATAACCAATGGCACCTGAACCCATGAGTTAACACATAAATTAGCAATAGGCACATCTGATAAGTTTTTCCCCTAGTACTAGCAAGAATTTTTAACTGTATATTTGTACAAATAACAAAACCAGAATTAACACTGCAGGTGAACATGATGAAACCAAAGCACAAAGTGTTAGAGTTAAGTCACTCTTTTTCAAATTAAACAAATATGGAGGTCATTATATGATCAAGCATCCTTCAGTTACACAACTGTCCTACAAATTAAATTAGCTAGCTATAGACAAGTCTTGAGGATCTTAAAAGAAACACATGCAAGACAGTGTATCCATCCTCAAGGCTCACTGGGGACAAGTTCAATATATCCCTAAGTGATCAGTTGGGCACATGGTAGTTCTCATAGTCCTTGAAGAGGGAGGCCAAAAAGGTATTCAATCATACTTTCAAAAACTCATGTTAGCTAAATATTTATTTCACAGTATTTAAAGTTAAATCCCATTTCAATGCTAAATGGAAGAAAAAGGGCTTACTTCGGGTAGCCAAGACTAACTATAAAACAGAAAATGAAATGGTACAAAACACCAGTACAGCATGGAGTTTAAGAGTGTAAATTGATTTGTATCTCAGTTACTTACTAGTTGTGTGACTATAATAACTTAACCTCTCTGCCTGTTCCCTTAAGTATAAAAGGGAATGGTAAGAGCATCTATCTCTCAGGGTTGTTGTAAAGATTACATTAGTTGATACAACGGGTTTAGAAACAGTGTTGAGTACACAGTAGATACTATGACCAAGCTATTATTAGTAGCAGAATGATATATGAAGAAAACTTTTTTGAATACCAAGAACTTAAAGGATAACATGACAATGTAGTGGTTCAGAGGACACCCTGTGGAGCCAGATTGCCTAGGTTCTAATCCCAACTCTGATATAACCCTGGGTGTTTTTTCTTTAACATGTGTCTCAAAGATTTCTAATCTCAAAATGGGGACAATAATTGTACCTGCTTTCTTGGGTTGTTATAAGATTAAATGAGTTAACACAAGTGTTTCACAGTTCTGACACACCATGAACACTCAAAGCATGAGCTATGTTTGCTGGCTTGGTTCACATTATATTTTATGCCAAGTTCTCTAAATATCCCCAAAACACACGCACTGTAGTTATTTTGTTTAATAGGAGTAGTAAAATCAGTATTGCTCCCAAATACCACCAATCAACTTGGTGTTTCACTTTTGATTATTGTTGTTTAATAAATAGTTTCATTAGACCATACTACAGCTGGTCTAAAATAAAGAATACAGCAAAAACCAAACAAGGTTTTCTGATAAGGCTGCTTGGTCTAAGAAATATTTGAACAAAAAATTGTAAAAACATAAGCTTTAGAACAAAATAAATTCAAAGGCTTAATCAAATGAACTATCAATGGTTACATAGTCGGACAATAAGCACTTCATTAAAATAATAAGATATATCTTAGTATTTTGAATTGGAGGGTTTCAAAGAAGAATTCAAAATAAATAGGTACATGACACCAAGAAATACCATACAAACATCAATGCCTACCTGACCTCATTATTTCTAGAACAAAGGTACCCTCTCTCAACAATTGTCCACTTCTAAAATTCTGCTTGGAACTGAATTTCTTTTTAAAGTTTCACTGTGTAATTCTGACAGCAACTGCTGACAACCAAAGCACACGCAAGTCAAAACTTTTCTATAAGTTAAAAAAAACAGTTTTTCCAATTTGTTAGGTGTCATTATATCAAGATTCTTTACACACCTTCAAAATATTTACACGACAAGCAAGTACAAAGAGTACTAGGCTAAAAACAGTTCTTTAATAAAAGTTTTGAAGGTTAAAGTGATAATAAAATAGCAGTAATAATAATTTGAGTGTCATGTGCCAGGGGCCTGTTCAAAGCCACACATTAATCTATTTAATACAGTACTAAAATCAAAACAAACAAAAACAAAATCTAGAAATCTAAAATTTGTTTTGCTCACTGTTGCATCCCGTGTCTAGAACAGTGCCTGCTACAGACTAAGCACTCAAATATCTATTGTTCATATTAAACAAATATTCATTTTTATAGAAGCACATAGGTAACTTGCCCAGCCCTAGAATTCTAACTGGAGCATTTCTGCTCCGAAGTTCACACTCTTAACCATTACAATGCCTCTCTAGAGCTTTTAAATCATTAAAAGTGGTGTCACAGCAGCTGGTTATCACCTGCAAAAGAAAAAAAATCAATGAGACCCTCCTTTAAAATGTTCTGTTCCACATGTATAAAAAGCTATGGACTTGAAATTATTCCACATCTCAGTGGCCTGAACACCCATGGATTAAAAAGATTTTGATTTGTACTAAATATTGTGTTTTTTGTATTTAACTATTCTGTAAAATATAACTATGCTTCTCCAATGTGCTGCTGGCCTTCAAAGGGGTCACAGAAAAGGATGTTTAAATAATCCTTTAAGCCTTAATTCCTAGGTTTTCTTCTTCTTTTCCATTTTCTCAAATATATAAAGATTTAAGTTTATATTTACATAAACCAACAATAACAATGCAATGATGACCTAAAACAAAATCAAATCATCAATACATGGAGTGAAGATCTAAAACTTCGTCAAATACAGCAGTTTTTCCAAATAAACACCAAAGTGACACGTAAATGTAAAATTAATCAGTTCCAGGCCTATTTTAGTAAAGCCAAGAACTTGCATTTCCTTCCATGCACAGCCCTTTTTAAAAGATTCTAACCTACAACCTCCCCTGTCTCCTAGTTTTAGTAAGGCTGAATTTATTCCATGACATTTTTTTCAAGTTAGCTGTAAATACTCCACCCTCCTGGATTGTGCAAGAACCAAACACATCACACATACACAAGTTACAAAAAAGGGAAATACGGTCTGAGAGTTTGACGATAGCTAAGTATTGAGCAGGAGGTCTCAGCGCAGTGTACAACCCAATGTGAAAGTTAACATTAAACAAATAATACTATTTCATATTATTACAAAAGGAGATGCCGGAAAAAGCCTGAACCAGTTAAAGCAGCCGCCATCTTAAAATGCGGGATAGAAGTTAGAGCAAGAAAATGAGACTAAACCACCGGAGGTGGAGGTTCCGCTCACCCAGAGGCTTGAAATACAACCCCCCCACCACCACCACTTTCAACAACTGAGATCGACAGGTTAGTGTCAAACGTTAAGCAGAATCAATCTTCCCAGAGGCTGCTCTTAAATGGGCTGAGGCAAAAATAGGTCCAGCTAAGCTTAGCCTCCTGCCATCGCCCCCTTCGCCCCCTCCCCCAGCCCAGGGAAAGCAAGCTCCCAGGAGCGGTTCCATCAGCTCCCGGTGCGCTTCCGATAAATAGCTTCGGGGAAAAACCTGAGCCACGGAAGTGGCAACACTGTGTCAGCCCCTCGCCTCCCGGCACCACTGCTTCTTGTGTAACCAGCCCGGGCGATGAGAAGTTTCTGAGCGGACTCACTCACTGCCCCTCCGGGCTCAGACAATCCACCCCTAATAAAGTCCAGGGCCCGTGGACCCCTGCCATCTTCCCCCCGCTGAGTTTCCCACCTTCCTCCGCCCCGGAAAACCCAGAACCTTGATCTTACAATTAAGTTTTCAAGCGCTGGGAACAGGAAGCGCCATGACATCTGCGGGAGCCCCACTTGCCACGAGTGTTCTGCTCACTGGCTTTAAACCTCTCCTCCTTCACCAAGTCTGTCCGCGCTCCCCATCCCCCAAAGGACGGAAGATCCAGGCGGGCTACTTCCAACAGGCCGCGTCCCCCACCCAACGTGTCCGCAGGGCGGAGCACCACCCATCCACCCAGGGCCCGTTACGGCCGGCGGGGGGATTAGCTTATTGAATCTGTTTTCAGCGCCATAGTCTGTGCTTTTCGTCAGGCTAATCAATATTTCGGTGAGGGCTCGGGGGGTCCGGCCGAAAATCTGTGAGGAACCGGGGGCAGGGAGAAGGTTGGTCTCTTCGTCTCACACCGGCTCTGCCAGACACAGGCGCCTTTTGCAAAAACGGAGCAGATCAGCACTGGCACAGGCCCCGGAGAGACCCCGATGAGTCCAGGTCCCCCAAAACCGCCGGGATCCGGGGAGGGTGGGGTGGGGTGGCGCGGCCGAGCCACCAACAGCCTCTATGCCGTGCTCCGGGCCGAAGAGGGGGCGAGGGGAGCCGGGGGGAGCGGAGGGGAGGCCACAAGTCGGACGTCCCGGCCTCTCGGAAGGAAGAGACCGGGTGGGAGAGGAAGAGGCGTAGGAGAAAGGGGTGGGTGCGGGGCAGGGTCCGGCGCCCAGCAGAGGAGGAGCCGGGGCCTAGTCGGCGCGGCGCCGGCGTCACTGGGGCAAAGAAAGGCTCGGGGGAGGGGGGGACGGGGAGGCTCCGGGGCCGGCGCCGGGGCTCCCCTCTGCTCCCACTCCGAGGCGCGCCCGGGGAGGGGAAGGGAACCAAGGAGAGGGGCCAGATGTGCGCGGCTGTCCCCGCAGCCACAGCTCTTGTGTGTCGCCCCTGACGCCACCGTACACTCCGCCTTCCAGCGCGCTCCCGCGCCCAGCCCTCGCCACCACGCGCCCGGGCAGCCCCAGAGGCTCCGGCGGCGGCGCGAGGACGCGCCCATTCCCCCTCCCCCTGAAGCAGGAGCGGCCCCGGCTCCTCCGCTCTCCCCACCCTACCCCACCCAGCAGGCTGGCCCCTCGGGCCGCCCGGGGCCTGCGTCTCCCCTCTTCCCCGGCCGGCCAGGGAGCCGGCCCCCCTCCCCTGCCCCCTAGCCGTCCACACCCACGCGTACTGAGGGGCCGGGGCCTCCCTCCGGCTGCGGCCTCGGCCTCCTCCCCGCGCGGAAGCTGGGTGCCTCCCCGGCCCTACGGGGCTCACGCGCACGACACAGCCACAAGATGTCCGCTCTGACGGAACTACTGCCAGCTGCCACGCTCCGCCCCTCCCCCCGCCGGCCTCTTCACCGCCGCGGATCCGTCCGCCAACGCCGCCGTCGCGAGCGCCGGGCGCGTCTAAGGGTGCGGGGAGACAGTTTGCGTCCCACGTCCGGGGCCGAGGGTCTGCGCTACCCACTTTTCCTCCTTTTCACAGAACAGCACCTTCTTACAAAACTGATCGGAGGTTGGACCGGGAGGGCAGGGACCGGAGGCGGGTCATGGGCTGGGGAGGGGCGGGAAGGGGGGGGAAGGGTAGAGGGGCGGCGGAAACCCTGAGACTCAGAGAAGCATCGAGAACCGGAAGGAGTCCATAGCAGGAAGGTAGAGGAAACGGCAGCTGCGCCGTAGAACCCCACGCCCCTCCCAGCAGCGTCCCCCAGTTTTTCTCACTTGGTCTGGAGGCGGTTCTCGCGATAACCTCGTGGCTGCTTTCCCGGAGCTGGAGCTCTGCAATGACTTAAGGGCAGTTTTGTGCACTCTTCCTGATGTGGGCCCGCCCCCAAACCCACAAACTCTCGCGAGACTCAGTAGGCACCGGTTGGCGCTGGGGCGGGCCGCGGCCGGGAAGCACCGCCCCTGAATGCTTGTGCTGGTGGGAGGGAGAGGAAATGGAATTCCCCGGCCTGGTCAGGGCGCGCGCCGACACAGCCCTCTCACGCGCCCAATCAGGAATGTGCGGTGGGAGGCGCCGAGGACTAATTGCGAGATACTTGTAGTCGGGGTTCACCCGGGCTCGTGAAGTTGGCGGTGGAGCAGGTGAGAGCTCTTGACTCTCCTGCGGATCTGGCCCGGTTGACCATTGGGCGGAGGCGCAGCCCAGCGTGGGAATCGTAATTTAAAACAGAACCTAGCGGGCCGCTGATCGGCGCTCCCATCAGCCGAAATCTAATGTATTTCTGACCTGAGAGGATCGATATACTGAGAAGAGCAGACCCATAGAGACCTGTTCCCGTAACTTGAGCAGCCTAGGAATCAAGCGCAGCTGTGAATTTAGTAGATGGAGGAGGGGGAGAGAGAGAGAGGGCTGTTTGCTGGTCTCTGTAAGCAGCCGGCACCATCCGCCAAGGGTTAGGTATGGAATAGACTTACTACTCCTTTCCTCCTGTTACGTTTTTACTCCTTGAGCCACAGCGTTGCGAAACTCAATCAGGAATTCAAAGTTTTGGGTCCGAAAACTCAATACGTAGTGAAACATCCAGGGGAAGGAATACTAGGACAGGATTGGCCTGTTTTAATCTGCCGGGTCTGAAGTATGGAGAGGGTGATTTTGCTCTCTAGTGTTTCTTTCTGGCAGAGGTTAGTAAGACAATTTTAAAAAGGCATTTAAAGGTAAGCATTGACCTGCTTAACGTTTTCTAATATTCCTTAATGATCCCAATTAACGACGTGGAGGTCTTTAAGAATTAAATAGCAAGGTAAACTTGTTTTTAAAATACACTTTTAAAGGGATAACAGCAAGTTGTTTTCCTGTTACAAGAATGCCTTACCTAGGAAAAACCTCATAGGTCTGCTAAGTTAGCTAATACAGTACATACTGTCCAAGAGAACATAATAGTGTCATTAGGGCAATTAGTGAAACAGTGTTTCTCAAACCGGTCGCTATTGAAATCACCTAGGCCCCTAGGGGTTTTGTTGAAATGCTGATTTTGATTTGGGCCAGGAGGAAGCCTGAGATTCTACATTTCTAATAAACTCCAGGTGACACAGATTATTCTGGTCAGAGCAACTCACTGCGAGTAGCAAAAGCACTAACGTGCTCGCCTCCTGGCCTCCTGGCCTCCCCACCCCCCAACCAATAATCGTTTCCTTGCTCTTTCTTTTAACCAGTCTAATAGAGTAGGAACACAGGGTTAGGCAGTTGGAGTGGAGGGAGAAATCCAGGTTTCACTTTTGGCTTTGTCGCTTCCCATATGTGTGCTATTGTGTGGTTACTTAGTTTCTTCAACACAAAACTAGGCACAGTAATAGCTGTTGTCCTTCCTCACAGGGTTATTGGGTCGTTTAGATGTCATAATGTATGTGAAAGGACACTGTAGACTGCAGTGGTGTATAAATGTAAGTTATTAAACTAACCAGTGAGACGTTAACTGGCCATAGTGTGGAATAAATCTGTAAGCATAATAATAAAGGAAATATTTATGGAGCACATTACCAGATACTATGCTTGTTAACCCCCTTTACAAATAAAGAAACTGATGCAGCGATTAAATTACTATCTCAAGGTCACACAGCTAATAAATGGCAGAAATAGAATTTGAACCCATGCCGTTGACTTCAGAGTATTTATTGAATGGGATTTCATATCATCTCTTAATTTAGAAAGTAGTAAAGTAGAATGTTTTGTGTTTCTACTTTCAATGCTATCTGAATCTAATTTTATATGACTCATTTCCCCATCTATTTGTTTTGTTCTTTCAGAAGCCAGGCTTTAGGGGTGGTAGGAAACATTCCCACCTTGGAGAAGCCAATTTATATTACTTCATTTAAACAATCTTCAGTATGAAGGTATCATAAAACATGTTAGTGCCCAGAACTAACAGAGCACAGAGGACTGGGACAGAGTTCTTGCATTTTTTTAGTGCTAAAAACCACTTTGGCAGTTTGGTGAAGCCATGAACTCTTCTCAGAATAATGTTTTTAAATGTATAAAATAAAACTTATAGTATTATAAAAGAAAACATTTTCAAATAGTCACAAAATATTTTTTTAAAAATTGATATAGGAATAAATGTGCTTTATTAACACATTTGTGATGGGTTTAGAAAGACCAAATTTTTGAAATGAGGAACATAAATATTTCCAGAGTTTGCAACAGTTGTGATATAAAGTATCTGTGATTCTATTGGTGACACAGATATAGATTTGTTTCTTCTATTCAAAATTGAAGGAAATGTGAATTTTCAGTTAGAGATTAGTAAAAATAAAGATGTAATTTTTTTCACATCTAGGTTCACATCCTGATTTCTGTTCATGAACTATATGTTAAAAAAGTGTTAGGTAGAGTCAAGTAGGCTTATTCCTGTGATTCATCAAGAAAAAGCTTAATTGCCACCAGTATACTCTCCTCAAGAAGGCATGCGCCCAGCTTGCATGGCTCATTGGTTGAGTGTCTACCTATGAACCAGGAGGTTGCAGTTCGATTCCCGTCTGCGCACATGCCTGGGTTGTGGGCCCAGTCCCCAGTAGAGGGCGTGCAGGAGTTAGCCGATCAATGTTTCTTCCCTCATCATTGATATTTCTATCTATCCCTCTCCCTTCTCTGAAATCAATAAAATATATATATTTTTTAAAAAGAAGGCATGGAAGTGTGTAATAGGTTTAGGAAATAGTTTTATCCCATTGGTATTTTTTTTTATACCTATAAAGTGCACTTATGGAAAATTTACCTATCCAGAATGGTTCATTTCCCAAGCATTCTGGATAACTTAGATTTTACTGTCTTATTCTTATTCATTATACACCTTCACAAATAAGATGTGGTGAAAGAACACAAATGGAAAATAATAAGGTTGAAAGAAATTAAAATATGGTATATTTAAATTTTTTGAAAATAAGTGTTAATAATTATTATTTGAAGTACTGTATGCTAGGTCCTCATTATCTCATCAAATCCCTGTTAAACAGATGAAACACTCAAGTTCATATAATAATTAGTAGAGCCAGGATTTAAACCTGGCCTCAAAGCTCACACTTTTTAAAAAATATATATTTTTATTGTTTTCAGAGACAAAGGGAGAAGGATAGAAACATCAATAATGAGAGAGAATCATTGATCA